TTGGAAACTTGAAGCTTGTAAATGTTGGAATGATAGGGTTGGCCGCGCAGCATCTGCAGAAGTCAAAGGTCTACAAGTAGATGGGGCCCATATACATTTGTTTTGGGATCTTACATCGACATTGTATCTGCTATAGCTGAGCACACAAGTTGGACTTGTTTTCAACACCCTCACAGAGGCGGCCCGGTCTTGGTAACCCCACTCGCCGTAGGGAACTTGCCCTCACAGTCGATCTATCCCACACTGCGCTGTTTCACCATCACAGGATTTTACTTGAGATTCTGTTGTGAACTATATAAGCTTGAAAGAAAGCACTTGGGACGGGCTGGCACGTCACGCATGCAGATATAGCAACGGCACTGTTCAGGATCGCTCTAGGGGCGCAGTGCAGGTGCTCAAACGTGCTATGGGCGTATGCGCTGCCTTGCTACGTAGTTGAAACATGTCCCCTGCGCGCACAGCAATCTGCGCACGTGGAAAATCCCATGGAACAGCTTACGCTGATCCGCCAGCACTGCACACAAGCAGTAACTGCAACTGAACTCAAAACTGAACCTCTCAAGCCTGGGATTTCTTAGGCTGCTTCTTGGTTTTCATCAGGGTGTCAAGCGCTGCATCCAAGGCAAGCGGGCCCTGGGTCGTCAATCCAGCCACGCGCTTCATGATCTCCGGCGTTGTTGGCGCAGGACGCTCATCCCGGTTGTAGCATGCCTCAATGACATCAGCCTTTGCTGCAGACAATGTTGAGAGATTTCGGTGCACATGAAACCCATTCAGCCAACCAGAATGCCCTGACTTTACTAATTCCAGCAGGGATTACGTAACTGATTGACCCTATGACCCCACAAAACTTGTACAAAGATGGCTGCGCGCACGCCTAGTGTCCAGACAGATTGCTGCAGCAACAGACATAGCGAACCCTGGGTCGTGCTTGCCGAAGGTAAAGTAACCCATGTGGATCCCTTTCTTCATGTCAAGCTCCTCAAGACCCTCAGGCATAGCGGCCTGTCTCAAGTAGACCTCACAGCCGTAGCGGGCTTTGGTGTAGTAAACATCGAAGCCACAGGAATCGTAGCTGGGCAGCCACTCCTTCACAGCTGACTTGATGTCCTCGATAGCATCATAGTCGAAGGACTTCCCGAAATGGATCACGTACTCCATATCCTCGTCCTCACCTGCTGGCCTGCAAACTTTCTTGGCCGGCGCATCCTCGACCGCGCTCGCTGCGCGCTTGCCCCGTGCTGCGTGCTTGCCAGTCTCGCTGTCTGGCTTCGCTTTTGCCTTGGCTGTTGCCTTGGCCTTCGCTTTTGCCTTGGCTGTCGCCTTGGCCTTCGCTTTTGCCTTGGCTTTCGCTTTTGCCTTGGCTTTCGCCCGGGGCTTGCTGCTTGTCTTTGCCATGCTAGACTTGGCCTCGTCTTCTGCGTCGTGCTCTTCCTCTCCATCCCCCGCCTTTTCCTCATCTTCATCCACCCTCAAACTGGAAGTAGATCCCTTCATAGCCCTCAACCGCTTCAAGCCAGCCCTCGGGCCCTCGATCTCCCACGTGCCAATTTCTTCTTGCCCTTGCCCTGCTTCCCCTTCTTGCGGTCAGCCTTCCTAGCCTTTCGCAAGCCCAGCTGCATCCGACGTCCAAAAACCTTTGGGGTATAGACTTGCAAAGGGAATTGAGAAGATTTTGCATATATTGCTTGGGAATCTAATTTAATGCTGGAATTATATACCCTGGAAACCCATGATGCCATGATTCTAGAATTTGAAGTGTAATGGGCAGCGACCTTGAACCGGCTAACGCCTCTTTTTCAAGTGAATCTATCTCCCTTTATAAGGCTATGGGACCTGTTCTCAACCCGCATGGCAGGCCTCCTCTGCCGGCTCTACCATCTTGACATCATCATCCTGGGACTCCGATGGCTCCTTTGGCGCAGGCGGCGGGGGGTGAAGGAGAAAATCATCCAACTCCATAGGCTTTTGGGAGGACACGGGCTTTGCGCCCACAACAACAGGCGATGCTTCCAAGGACTCCGAACTGGTGGCCCCCTTAAATGTGCTTGCTGGTGTTGCAGTGGACACGGTCAATGGGGTCTTCGGCTCCGGCAACACTTGCGTCTCTGCTTCATCCGGGGGCACTTTGCAAGTCTTGCTGGCGTATTCTGGAGGGGCCCAAACAAACTTGAAGTAACATGGCAACAATTCATTGTAGACTTGTGTAGACCACGTTTGTTTACCACTTTAAGGCATTCGGGGAGTCAAGCACTTTTTTACGGGAAAGTGAGTGCGTTACTTGATGGCCTATGATTTTAAAGCTAATGCTTTCGACAGGCTGCCGAATCGTGCTGCTGCTTCTGGATCGTGCAACGCCCGCTTGGCCTGGACCCTTGGTGAGCAACCATTCAAATTGAGTTTCTACATGAGGCTTATAGTGTATCATAGGCATGGCCTATATGGGTCATCGCGCACGCTAGTTACGAAAACTAACTCATGCGTCCGCATGATCTCATATGCTGATCGATGGAAGTTGCAGAACCCCTTGCAATTCAGCCAACTGATGCTTACTTGAGCTGACTTCATCTTAAATTGAACCCAGAAGCCTTTTCAGCTCCCGTTGAAGCATCTCGAGCCGCAAGCGCTTGGATGAGCTGCTTCCTGGAATGCGTGGAGGATCGAGAAGGCAATCATGAAAATTCGCCTTCAGTCCATTAGTTCGACTATGTAAGGCATGCGTGAGGACCGCGCAA